TGTTGTCTCCAACTTGAAAGCCACAAGTTACTTGAGAGGGTTTTTTTTTAAGTAAACAAACAATGTCAACTATTTCCAGTCATAGCCTGGCCTCTTTAGCACTTATGACGAAGCACATTTGGAAGCCAAAGCAAGCAAGCAGGATGATTCACTTATCCCAGAGCTTCGCAGACAGATAAATGAATTCTTCTTAATCAAGGAAGAACAGGACCTCTACAGCATTAAACAAGCAGTACCATTCAAGACCCACAGGACTGAAAAACTGGCAATACCTCATTATCCACAAAGTAATCAAGATGTGCGTTTCTATGAAATTTACGTACATATAAGTGAAGTCCCTGTGGTGCTACTCAAGAGATGGCAAGTCAGTAAAAATAGTGAGAAAGAGATGGCCTTCATCTCTTGTTGGGGATGTGAGACTTTCAACGTGCTACAGAGGAGTTTGCTGTTGATACTTGAAGTCATTGTCAGATTCTGAGACCATTAAGATTGGTACAAAAGCCTAAAATTGGTAGGAGGGGCACCCAATTATAAGAGCCAAACTGCACTTTGCAGTTAAAGATTCAGTAATGGATGAATTTCCCAAGTTCTAACAAGCCAGCTTGGATCTATGTGAGTTTTTAAAAGTTTCCTCATTATGAGGTGCCTGGCTGAGGAATTTCAGGAAGAGATTGATACATCCTTCTTGAAAACTGACTGGTGTTACATTTCATCTGCTTTACTAAACTCTTTAAATCATGTATACTAGGTAATGTATGAACTGAGACTACAATTTCCAGTGCAATGAGCACACTAAAGCAGACTAATAATTTATTTATATATATATATATATATATATTAGTGATTTTCTTACCAATAGCCTGTGTTTGTCCACTGGCAGAAGGGTGGTTTTATGATATTTCATTTCTATATACCAATTTTTTCCAATCTTCTGCTGTGGTCCAGCAAGGAGCAGATGGATGCTGCCCGGTTTGGGAACTGAGCTGGCTGAGTGTAGCGGAAGGGGTAGCAGTCCCTGCTGTCCCATGCATGCCCAAGAGCCCCCTGCTCATCTGCAGTCACACAGCAGGCTTACTTCTGGTGACAGCAGGGCTCTGTGTACTTCAGCCGTATACGCAGAGCAGCTCTTTCTTTTCCTCCTGTAAAAAGAGGGAAAAAAACTTTGGCAGTTCATGACCACATGGTCTGTGAGCCACTAATGTTTTTCCAAGGCACCAGTCAGATATTTTCAGCCTGCCTCTTGGTTGGATTCCACTGTATATACCTCTGTGCCTGCCTCCTAGCCTCTTACAGTATTTTCATTTAGCGTGAGCCTCTGTCCTTTCTCTGCACAGTGAGCTGCCAGCATTAACGTCATTTCCCAAGAAAGCCCAGCGGCTTTGACTACTGAATGGTGTCTCTGGGCTTGTCTGTTTCTTCTTATAACCTCTGATAACCTAAAATCCAGCTATCCACAACCAATTGTTCCTGTAATGCATGGTGGTTTCTTCTCCTTTTGCCATAAACTGGTGGAAACAGACAGGCAGTTCTAAGATGCAATTCATCCCATTTATTTTCGGCACCAGAGAGAACTCTTCCTACAGTGACTGGAGAGGAAACATCGGTGGCTAGCTTGGACCAGCTGTATTCCTTTTGGCCATGTGAAGGCTGGATGAGAGGTACCACACCCTATGCTATCTTTAGTAGCTACAAGGTTATGAGTGGACAGGGAATTCTTAGCTCCAAAACATAAGACCTATTTCTTATTTTGTTTTGCTCTGCTGGGGCTCTTGCTTTGCAGACTTCAGTCAGAATAATCGTAAACACTTTCATTAGCTGTTCTCATACTTAAAGTACTATTCCTGATTTCACATGGTCCTTGCCCTCCTGCATGAACACCTTCCCTCTCCAGCTACTAGAATAAAAAAATGTAAGCTTCTTGTCTTGATTGGCCAAGATCAATTCTGTGCACAGGTCTAATCCTTGTTTCCAATTGCTCCCACATTTGTTTATGGGCTTTGTTTGAGAACGAGCAAGTCTAATTATTTGATGCTCTTAAATTTATGTTTAGGGGTTTTTTAGGGGCTACACTGGTCAAACATTAGTTATGCTACCTATTTAGATGGGTAGCTGATATCAGGATCACATGTGCTGAATAAGACAAGAAAATAATTGTTAACTGACCTTGTTTCCTGAAAAGAACTACTTGCATGAGCAGCGTCTGTCCTGGATGCTCACCCATGCCAAGACTACAGTACATCGGTCTCCTCTTCTCTGTGATTGTGCCTTTGAAGTTCTTGCAGATAGACAAGGTCTCTGGAAAATGCTGTAAACCCACATAGTTCCAGAAACAGAGTGGCCTTGTCCTCCTTACATCTTTAATTTTTCAAAAGAGAAACACTGTGGTGCAGAGCCCTGGATCCTTGATGTGAAGTGGTATTCCCTAATACTGTATTTCTTTTCAGGTCTGATTATAAACCAGTAAAACTAAGTCCTCAGTTTCAACTTGCCTTGAGATTCAGGACATCTCCTTCTCAAAATACATGAAGACTAATGACTCTGAACTTCCAGAATGGACCTACCTAAACTACAGTGACAACTAGAGTTTTCTAATTTTGAATGAAAAAAAGTAGACAAAAATCTTGCCTTCTGGGAAGCCGAATAAGACGGATCTCCCCACCTGGGGAGCGCATGCGAAATTCACATCTCTACAGTGACAGTCTGTAAACAGAAGTCTCCCCACAGAAGCCAGTAGGTGAACAGAATACTCAGACAGCTGGAAGGCAGAGAAAGACCACCCGATGTCACCCGCCCAGAATGAGCCCAAAAACTTGGGGAAGTGCAGAGCAAGGACAGCCATGAACGTGGTGGCAGTCAGGAACAGAGCTTGGCCCATCAGTACAGTCCTCCTTTGGTGTGACCAGGCACAGCCTAGTGGTGAGAGAAGCAGCTGAAGAATGGAGCTCATCCTGCAACCCCACAGAGCAGGGGTGACTGTGCCTCCAAGGGACAAGTCCCTCTGCAGCGGAGCGCTGAAAAATCACACCACTCCAAGGAAAGTGCTGCCACCCTCCAAGTCCCATCTCATATCTCACATCTTTCTTCACACACACCTCACACACCAGCATATTGTTTTGGTTTTTATTTGTTTTTCATTTTTCACGTAACAATGTTGCCCTTGTGTACAATGATACAAATCAATGTAAAGCATTTACATTATGTGGGCCACTTATTCAAGCCTATCTGTAAAATATCTACCCAATATAGTTCACTTGAACAAGTCTGCTTAGGAGGAAAGCCTTCAGAATATTACTAGATCAATAGTTAGAGAAGCAAATATCACTTCATAAAAGATAAGCCTTTGTTTCTATACATTCCTTTTGTATTCAAGGTGCCACTGAGTAACATCTATTCTCTATATGCTTAATCTTTATCTCACATTCACATTTCTTTTTCCTGCTCCAGTTTGGAGGAGGATCTGAGGTATTTAACTTGCTTATGGCACCAGCACTCTACATACTGAAGTCCTGCTTCTTTTCCACTACATAGTGAAATCCAACCTTATACCTATAGCTGGATGTGTTATCACACTACTCTTGGAGGATACAGATGGAAAGGAAGAACAAATCACATTTTGAACTGTTATATTTATTGACAAACCTAATTTATTCTCTAGCTACAGACTGGTGATTGCTTGAAAATAATGAGCATTTCTGATATTTTTCATGTTCCTTCCAGCAGTGATCAGTTCATCTATAGCTTTCTTCCTTCAAAGAAGAGATATCCAAGTGGATTGACTGGTTTCCACAATTGCAGACATCTTTTTCCCATCTCCCCATAAAATACACGTAGTCTTTATCATCATAGCTAACATTCTATGCTTGGAAACAGTGAATTCTGTAGTCTTCTTTGGTTGCACTTGACTCAGACTGTGTCAGAACTCTAATCTCCATGCCTTAGAATATTTAAAGGGAGGCTTTGGCTTAAATCTCATTACTTGTGAAGGTTTCTGCTAGTAGATAATAAAGGTTTCCTAACTCAAGTCACATCCTACTCTTTGAAGTCTTTCTATATATTTATTAGATTAACTCAGAGCCAGCTGTATAAGATGGTGGAAAGGAATTAGATTATGGCCTCTCCCAGTTGGACATAAGTTGTTCATTTCCCTATTTGTTATAATTTGTTTCTTTGGAGCAAGTGTTTTTCCTGATTTTTTTTTTCCTACGGAGTTTGAAAAACCTCTGGGATGATTTACATGAATAAAAAGCTTTCTCTTGGGAGTCTGTGAGAGGTGTCAGTTATGGATCTGTAAAAATGTAGTCCTTTAAGGCAGGTTCTCTTCCCTCCCATACAGATAAGGATAATACACAATATATGTCTTGTAACTATTTCTCAGCTATTATAAGGGGTATCTCTTTGAAGAGGAAGTAACCAAGTCGTTTTACTCCTTCTGACCGTCAAAGTACAACATGGTCACTAATTGTTTATTGCTCCCTTCTGATTTATGTCAAGACTAGAATCCAGTTAGATTAACCTCATAGGCAGTGTTTTACATCATGAGTAATCAATTTGCATACTGCAATTTAAAGGACACAGTTTGAAGCTACACCAGATTGGTCACAGAAGGGTTTGGAGGCACAAAAGGATGAGAATTTACATTATTACTGGCAATCTGTCCAACTACTTCCAGGTTTTATTAGTCAAATGACTCTCAAAACCGAATTTTTTCACTTGGCAAAGATAACGACATGTTACAGCTGCCTATGAATCTCTAGTTATGACATATTAGTAGATAAAACGAAACTGAATATTCCAGTGTACAGTTATCTGTTATGCAGATGTAGTTATCTCTGGGGGAGGAATATTCTGAAAGCCCATTTAAGCAAAAAATAATCCAAATGGTGACAAAAAATTAGTTTTTCTGTGGAGAAGTTCATAGATATACAGTTACCATGACAATTGCATTTGGCTCTGGAAAAGGGAAAACAAATGGGTCTTTTTAGGGAGTTTCTTTTTCTTTCGTAAGAAAACCCAGTAAGTTTATTGGGTGAGAGCACTTTTCTTTCCCTACCTTTCCCATATCCAGAGCATGATCCCAGTATTCTGTGTTCCAAAATTCTACAGATTGCACCCAAGCTTCAAAATATTAGAATCAGGTTTCCTGCATCTAGGCAGCATAAAAATGGAAACTTATATTCTTAACTTCGTCAGATGGTAGAAGACTTGGAGAAGAGGGAAAAAGCTGATATATATCTGTCTGTTGGGAATGCAGTATATCAGGTCTGAAATGCTCTCTGTGCCTCATATGAAAGATAGCCACAGTGATTTTTTGTTCTGTTGGCAGTTGGAGAACCAGGCAGAATTTAAACCTTTGCTGTTCTATATCCATTATCGTCTCTCCGCTTCCAGCACTTGTGCACGCATATCCCTCCCACGATCACACAGGCCAATGCAAAGGGAATCATTGCAATGTACCAGGACAAGCCAACAGCTGGAAAAGTAAAGAATAAATATTAATATTAAAAAAACCCAAAAGACAAAAAACCAACAAACTGTCGGGAATATAGTTCTCTAAGTAAAAGGATGAAGAGGAGAAATCACAATAAAAAGGATGTGTGCAAGTTAACCTTTGAGCACGACTCATTCACCTGTGAAAGGAAGAGGTCTATTGATTGAACACTCCGGGAAATGTGTTTATGAAGATGGGAGGAAGAATTCGAAAGTAACAGAGGGTGAGAATTTAAAGTTCAGTCCTTTGCATATACCTGACTCTTCCCACCCCCTGGTCAGAGTGGCTGTGTGCCACTTGATTTCTAGCACACAAATTGATTTGTTAAAAGCAGAGACACTCCAAGACGGAAGTAAAAGCACTGCGTGAAGCAGGAGTACATAACAGCCAGTCTACCTGCAAGCTGTGTGAATAATTTTCTCCTACAGAGTGGCTTCTAGATTAGTAATGATCAAGCCAAGATGCTGAACTTCTTCCCAAATACAACTAATTTCTAACACCAGTGTCTGTCCAGACTATTTTTGATTATTCCAACATATACTTATACATGGATTGCCTCTTTTGTAGTGAGCAGTACCTGTGTAGCTCATGGAAGATGAGGCCAGCATATTCAGTGAAATGAGTACAAATCCCTTACCATAGAATGCTGGAGAAAGTCATAACTCACAATGAAGTCTTAAATGTGCCTTTCTAAGACAGTTTGAGCAAGCTTCGGTGATTCATCAACCTCGTGCAAAAAAACAATTATCATTGCTTCACACTGTTTTTACAGCATGTTCTTGGCCAATGGTCTATCATGCTGCAATATTAATTGCACTGAGCTTAAGTCTTCTCTTCCCCTCACTAGGAGCCAAAATAATAACACCCATCATAATTTACACTTCTTGTTATTTCAGTGGCAGCCTATGCATGAGGAAAAGGAACACTCAAGTAATTAATTCTGTTATTGTCCTTTCTTTCCCTACGTGTTGAGGAACTGGAGGAGCTCTAGCCCTGCTACACCCAAAGGGAATTTGCCAGTAGTCCCACTGAAAACATCATTTCACAAAGTGTATCTAAATTGGATCTTATTCAATAAACAGATACTCCAGCAGAGATGGATCCTTACCCCTGCATAAAATGTCAGTAAATGACCCATAAAAGGTGTATTTTGTGAACAGACTATATCAAAGACTACAGGTGAAAGAGTCAACCAGACTTTCCCCTGGCAATAATTCATCCTGGCACTATCTCTGACAGTATAAAAGGCTTGGATTATATGTCAGCATCAGAATAACAATAACAACAATTATCCAAAATAAACAGTGAAAATAATTACCTTCCTGCTTGACCCTTGTTGGCAGTACTTGGTAACCGTATCTGTTCTGGGCCAGACAGGTAAAGTCTGTGTAAAAGTCCATTTCTTCAACAGAATCAAAAATCAATGGTACTTCAATGAAGTTTTCACCATTTTCTACAATTTCTCTGGAAAAAAATAAGAAAAATTTAATGTTCAATACTTTTATAAACTACCTTTTCTCTATTTAATATGTTCATTCTAAGAGCACAAGAAAATGCATTGGATATTGGCTCATTTCTGAACTAGTCACACAGCATTCAAGGATACATGTTGTCTCCCAGTCCAGTTCTGCTAACTATTTGAGTCTCAGGTGGCAGTACCCATCCTGCATGTTTTGGAGCCTACAGGAGGAAAGATCTGAATTTGTCTTGCAAAATTAAATAAAAGAGAAGGAAGAAAGGCAAGTACATCTTTAAGTTCACTACACAGCATTGGGGAAGGACCTAATTCCTTCTTTCTGATCACCTATTCATTTATGAAGTTAATTATTACTACCAGATGGAAGAGGACATATGGAGAACATAAACTTGTAAATGCTCTCTGAGAAAACTGAAGCACCATTCCTGTCTATCACATGTCCCGAGCCAAGAGCTCAAAACAAGAAACTGTCTAAGAAGTTTCCAGCTTATTTCAACATTATTGTTCCATGAGTACAACTATTTGAAAATGGTTTTCTAGCTGCAGTCAAACATTGTCCCTTGGTATATTTTAGTCATTGCTGGACCAGTTGTCCAGCTGCTCTTTAATGATCTGATCATGAGCCTGCATTGCACCATGGCAGTGGAATTCCCTGGGCACTCCTCCCAGGTCTGTACCACAAGAAGGCAGGAACATGGCAGTAGGCTCTTTGCCAGAGATTTCTGCAGGGAATTTGTTTTCTTGTTGGTATTTGAGCTATTTTGCCATGCTGCCATAATGGGGGCTTCCAGCAGAACTAGAGTGTCTCACGCACTGTGGGTTCTACATGAACCTTAGCTGTCATGATCACTGTCCTTGTGCAAATGCATAATAATATGTAACAGCAATAATTATAGTGATAGTCATAATCAAAGTAATTTTTAAAGTCCAAGTAAGAAAGTACATGTGTGCTCTATTCTAAAGCTTGCAAAGACATTTTATGGTTCCTGACCACAGAATCAATGCATTTTCACTTATCCATATAAGATTATAAACTATTGCTCCCAATCATGCTGGGAAGAATGGGAAAACACATAAAGGCTTGAGCATATAGCTGAGTGGCCACGTTACCTCTGGCTGCAGAATGACCAGGTTGTTATCTGGCACTGGTGGCCACAAATGGCCAAAACCAGCTCACATCCACAACCGTTAAACACTCTTGTCCCTCAAAATACAGATGCCACATCCCCAGTCTTTTTTGGAAGTGGTCCCTGACCCATGCTAAACCCTAATCAATAGCCAGGAACTCTTTGGGAAGGTGCTCTCACCTTTACTTCAGATCTGTCTGTACCCCATTTCATCACCTGGCATTCAGCTGCACCAAGAGCCCCTGTTGCATTGCAGGTTAAAACAACGAGTACAAGGAAGCACTTTCAGCCAGACTTACTGTCGTTCTCCCTCTGTAACTCTGCTTTGTTTATAAACCACATCAACACTGGTGTCATTTGCCAGCCATTCCACATCGGTTTGAACATGGCTGCTCAGCCCAATAAACACTTTGCATGGAAGAGTCATCTTGGAGCCTGCCAAAAAAACAAAGATTGAAAAACAATTTGGATACATGTGAAGAACTACTTTTTCTTCTCATGAAAGCCAGCAACTCCAGTGGGAGATCACGTTCCCACACATGTCAAGCACCACTACATTCAAAACTGAAGTTAATCCCCAGATTGCTTTTGATCCCCTACTCCTTGGCAGAAAGCCTCTTCAGTTTGGCAGTCCTTCCCAGTGCTAACCACATCAGTTTCCTATTGCAACAGTTAGCAACTCTTGCACTAAACACAGGAGGCAAAGCTCTGTTCCTGTGGCCTTGCTCTTTCTGATACACTGCAGCCCAAAGGGCACCAATGTGAGTTACCCCTCTGGAGCAATTGCATTAACCAAAATTGCAGCTTTGCTTGGAGATGCTGTGGGCAAGATCATTCAGCTCAAGGTGGGACCTCCAGGGATAAAGTGACTGCAAAAATGATGAAATTTTGATGCAGTTATTGTAACTTAGAGTTAAGGATAAAGAGGCTCCAGGGTGGTGTGGATCTATGGAAAACACAGGGCTCAATAATGCAAACAGTGTTATTATTATGCCTGTGCAGATGCTGATAAAAGGAACATAAAACACTACATGGAGGTAGATAGGGGAAAAAACCCAAACAAAACATCAATCAATCAAACAAACAAACAAACAAAAACTTGTTAGGCCTACGATTATGGAAAGAAAAGTATCAGGGAAAACTAACACATCATACGACAGAGCTGTGCATATAGCACCCAAGTTAAAAAAGTTTAGTGAAAAATGTGTCTGGTATTGTCTAGGAGGAGGAAATGCAACAGAAATTTATTGTCATAATGTAATCTTTAAACAAAAATTGAGATCCTATCAAGGTACTTGCCAACTAAAAACGGTCTATTTCAAACAGTAAAAACCAATGAAAAATATCCCTTTTCAAAAGAGCGAGATGGCTCATTCAAAGCTACCAGATAACCAGACTAATTTGAGGAAATATGAAAAAGAAATGTTCTTAGTGAAGGGGGAACTGTGGGCAGCTGAGCTAATGGTAACAAACATGGTTTTATTGCTTTGTAAGGGGCTAAAATCTACAGCAATTCTGCAGCTTCTCCTACCTGGAAGACAGCATCTGATTGGAGACAGTTAAGAAACAAAAATTACTCCAGCACTGACCCTCAATTAAGATAACTGAGATCAAAGAAACTACAACAATTTACACCAACAAATTATACCATAAGAGGACCTGTTCTAATTTTTATCTGATTAAGTGTTTCCAAAAATAATGTTGGGCCTTACCAAGAACAGCTGATGTTGTCTTTTGCGTTGGATACACAATTATTGGGGTAATTTTCTTCTCTTGTTCTGAAATTAGAAAGAGGACAGAGTCAGTGCTATTGCAAAAGAAAACGTGGGCTTGGCCCCAGAACTAGAAACGTGACACTTCGCTCAACACCTGCTGTCTTCCACGAAAACATGTGATTGTTAAACCCATCGGCAAAAAGCGACATTCTCGTTCCAAGCCCAGAGACCCATGTTGTGGTTCTCAGGCAGGATCCGGTTCTCATCCCGATCCCGAGGGATGCAGCGTAAGGAATTCACGGCACGCCCGCCCCCTGCTGGCCGCTCAGCGCAGCAGCGCCACGTCCCCTGCGCGCCCCCCGCCGCTCTCACCCCCCTGAGCAACAGCGTCCTGTCCTCGCCCTCAGCGGCTCGCAAGTGCTCAACTCCTGACCTCTCTGAAGCCGTTTGCAGTGACAAGGGCTAAAAAACACGGGTACTCGCAGGAGCGACCCCTGTCCTGCCAGGGGTGCTGTGGGAGCCCCATCAGCGCCAGGGCAAGCACTCACGGTGTCCCCCTTCTCTTGGCATGCCGGAGAGATCGACCATGACCTCCTCTCCCCAGTTCCATTAGCAAAGAAGATGTTTTCTTACATAATGCAATGTTTCAAAGTGTCAGTCCTTGAATCATAGAATCACAGAATGGTTTGAATTGGAAAGGACCTTAAAGATCATCTAGTTCCAAGCCGCCTGCCACGGGCAGAGACATGTTTCACTAGACCAGATTGCTCACAGTTCCATCCAACTTGGCCTTCCAGGGATGGGACATCCACAGCTTCTCTGGGCAACTTATTCCAGTGCCTCATCACCCTCATAGGAAAGAACTTTCTCCTAATATCCAATCTCAACCTGCCCTGTTTCAGTTTGAAGCCATTCTCCCTTGTCCTAGCACTCCATGCTCTTGTAAAAAAACCCTCTCCATCGTTCTTGTAAACCCCCTTTAGGTAGTGGAAGGCCACAATTAGGTCACCCTGAAGGCTGACCTCCCTTTTCCAGGCTGAACAAACCCAACTCTCTTAGCCTTTCCTTGTCCAAGATGTGCTTCACATCTCTAATAATTTAATATTATATTTACCAACAGTCTCCAGCTGAATTGTCCTGGTGATTTCATACATCACACCCTCAAATGGAAATGACATCTTGCAAGTGTAATAGCCAGCATCTGTTGGTAGCACAGATGTCATGATCAGAGAAGTTGAACCTTTCAGAATGACAAATTTTTCATTGTCGTCTTTCAAAGGCAGGGCATCCTGGAGAAAGGACAGCAACTGGTGTTATGACTCAGATATGGTTATGCCCTGTGTAACAAAATTAATTATCCCTGTCCCTCTGTTATTAAATATCACTGGGAAATCTGAGCAGTTCCACTTCCCCACCAAAGGGCAAGTTCTTTTAATGTGTATCTATCTCTAAAACACTCTGTGACACTATATGAAGTGTGAAGAATTGTTATTTTAATCTATTTACAATGTGTGTGCATAGTTCTTCAATAAAGAGTACATTTTAAAATGGAAAAGGTATAATACACTCTTTTCTGAGTCCTCTTAAGAGCAATCAGCCAACATATTCTTCTAAGACAAAACCATTTTAGTACCCATGAAGGTTTTCACAATGATATCACTTTCCATATATGACCCTGTAAGACTAATATTCTAAGGTGTCCTTTGAAGACAAATATTAATAATCATAAAGGTTTTCACGTAACTGTTACTTACCCTACATACCTCATAAACTGTTTTAAATTCCTGCTCTGTATCCCTAAGGCTGTCTTGGGAGCAATGATGTTCCTGCTCCATGAAGGCAGGGCAGCTCTTTTGGACAGTTGTAACGAGAACCATATTGAGGGGGACAGCCTTTTGCTTAGATAAAGTGGTTTATATCCCACTTCTGAAGGGAATCCTCAGCAGCACCATTTTACTGGTGTGGAACCAATCCCAACCTAGGCACTGCTGTGTTGCGTCCTGTGCTAAGACAACAGCTGCACAAGGCAGAGCATGCAAACATAGTGAAGCATAAATAAAAGCTATATATATATGAAAATACAAGAAGGATCCCCTGCTCTCCACTGTGAAATTGTACAGATGAGAATGACAAGTGGAAGATATTTGACCTTTGAGGCAAAACCACGGTTGTCTCTTGAAAAACCACAAACTGGTAAGTTAGGCAAGAGAACATTCTAAGTAAGCGTTGTGTAATTAACCTAGTATTTCCAAATGCTGTATTCTGGTTGATTATTGAAAGCTACCCCATCTGAAAAGGGAGGAAGCATCCCTGGGAGGTCCTAATTTACGGGGTTCACTGCAAGGGCCATAAAAAGAAGCACAGTGCCGAAGGGAAGAGCCTGATCTCAGGTGGCAAACCGTGGAGTTGGGTAAGTAATCTATCCTTAAAAATAGTTGCACTGCCTGTGAGAGCATACAACATGTAGAACACTTCACCCTATGCTAAATCCACCCCAGATTACCTTTCTTAATATATATACGTCTACCCCAAAATTCCTAGTATATTAGAACGTGCTCATGACTTGTCCAACATGATGTTCAGGAGAAACATCAAGTGGAGATTTCTGTGCCAAGTTGAGATTAGGCTATGCACAAAAAGGAGGTGAAAGTTCTACCTTGTACCACTTGAGCTCCAGGCTTGTCCAGTTTGGTGAAAAATCCCACAGGTCAGGACAAACGATCTTTCCAGAGGTGAAAGTGAAAAGGACCTGGGGATAGGCAATCTCCCGAGCAGCTGTTTTCTCCACGACTGTGAGGTGGATGGAGACTTCTGCACAGTAGGAGGAGTTCCTGCACACAGAGGAGGGAGAGATGAGCACCTGCCAGTGACACGGGGAACTTGAGTGGCACTCAAGGTTTCCTCCTGGCTCCATTTCTTTCCTTAGCAGTTTCTAGGAGGTCTGAGATCATAACAGGAAGGATGCTGGAAAAATCACTGGTACTGTTCTTTTGGCACAATCTGAACTTGTGGTTGACACGTGTTTGCCTTGGACATTCAGTCTTTTCTTTTTTTGTATGCCAAGTTCCCTGTACACCCTTAGACTACAGCATGTTTTTTTATTTTTTCACCTGAACAGTGTCATGAAGCCTCCACCCTTTCCTGGGAAAAAGTCCTGACCATGAAAGCCCTAATGATGAAATAAAAACCTTAAAGCATGTATTGAAATACATCTGCAGTCACTATTACACAACCACAGGCATTTCTGTGAGTACGTATCATACTGCGTAGAAAAGAAGGCATTCTGGCTTTGAAAGGTTTGCAATATTCAATTTTCATTCTGGCCCCAAGTGACAATCCCTTCCAGTTTCAAGGAGGACCGAACTTGGGAAGAAAGATGCTTAAATTCTGTCCTCTACAACCTCTGAAATCCTGCCTTGGAGTTGCCTTTACCAAGGGCAGTGACTGACCCTTGAACGGGCCAACAAAGCCAGGGGGTTTGTGCTGCCACCTCCAGGAGAGCACCTATGGGCTGCAAGCAGACAGCCTGACACTGCTGCCAGGGCACTGTCGCCCTCTCTCATTTAAAGGCCAGATGACCAAATTCGAAATGCTAGCTTCGTAGAAGCAGAGACCTCTGATAGTTTGCTTCTACCCTTGTTTTATAGTGTTGAAAAAAAAATCTGATGGCTTTCCTATAGGTTGATTTGCAAAGGAAATAGAATTTGCTTGTACTCTATTAACACTATAATAGTATTAGCAATGAAGTTACGTACTTGGCTCTTGCATGGCTTCTTCAAATGTGTTTCAGAGCATTTTACTATAGCTATAGTAAAACTGCCATAGTACTATATGTTGACAAACTGAGGCAGAATAGTCCAAAAAGGGAATTAAAAAACACCCTTGAAGGTCTCAGGCACTTCTCTGCTCTAGAATAATATTTGCAGCCTTTTATTGCTTTGGCCTCACTATCAGTGTCATCTCTTCTGCTCCACCCCTTCTCACTGCTGAGACGTGCGGAAAGGCCAACCCAATACGCTGAGCATGATTTCTCCACTGGAGTTCTGCCTGTCCATCCCTTCTGCTTTTGACACACATCATTCACAAGGTGTCTCTTGCCAGCAAAGAAACCATGCTTTACACAAACACTTCCAGGAATGTGGAGATACGTTCTCCACCATAAACTCCAGAGCAAGATGCCAGGGATGCACTGGGAGGCTGGCTGGCTGGAGGAGCTTGGAGGGGACAGGGACCTGGGACACCTTCTGGAGTTTGGGCTTCAGGGTGATGGGGGTTTTTGCCTTCTTCAGTTCCAAACAAATCCAGACCCTGGTACCTCTTTTGAAATGGTATAATGGCCTGTCAGATTGTAAACACTAAAAAAAAAAACAACCTACCAACAGGGCTGAAAAAAACCATGCCTGAAATCTCCACCCACTGCAATATCACAAATCTGTTATCAATCTAGTAAATACACATCGAGTCTCTGTAAAGGTCTTCCAGCAATACCAAGGCAATCAAATTCTCATTTAAAATGTGAAGGAGAAATAAAATGAAGAGCAGGGATAAGGAGGAGGAAAGAAGGAAGCCACTGCAGAGACACAGTGTCTTAGTATGTGTTTCATAAGGCAACCTGAAGTGCAACAAAGCTATTTGTGTCCTGCAAAACCCCCTGCCTGCAGCATGTCCCACTTGCCATGGCACAAATTCTTTATACACTGTTTTCCTATAAGACCATCGCCAAAGCAGCAAACCCATGTCACAATTTATCCAGCTTTCAGTATATGTAACTGTAGGAGACACATAATGCACTTAAGATTCTGACTTTCCACATTTTTTTCTCTAATAATGTCAGCGAGGAAATGATCTTACCCAGAAATGCTTTGAATATAACTGGAGTTTAAAATCGAGGTAATGCATTTTAGACATAGTAAGCTTGTTAGTGCACTGGATTTTCTTTTAAATTACCCACCTTTTGGTGCAGATATATACTCCTGAATCTTCTAGCATCGCTGGTAAAAACCAGAGTGCATTTCCTTTTGCCCAGATTCTTGGATCTTCATCTCTTCCTGATATCACGGTTTTTGAACCATTTTTATGCCACGTGATATTAGGGGTCAAGGCAGAAAAATCCAAATGTTTGTAACTAGGGGAAGGGCACTTCAAAACCACAGGTTCTCCATGCAATTCATAGTAGTGTTTGAAAAACACGGTGTGATCTGGGCAGTTTTCTATATAAATCAGAGATATTTTTACATTACTGTCAGACAGGCATGTTGAAAAGAAGGGTGAGGGAGATGGAAGGAAAAAAAAACCAAGCCCTTACCCATGCTTTTGACTTTTTGGAGTCTGAAAGCAGAGGCACCTGCTGTGCACATCACCAGGACAAAGAAGAGCCCACACATTTTTTTCCACAGGAAATTGGAAGGGGAAGGTCGAGGGGAAGTCTTTTGAAATCTACAAGGAAATTTATTACAAGGCAAATGATATAATGAAAATACTCAATACTATCTTAGGACTTTTAATTGCTCTTTTCCATACACCAGACCTGGGGAGCTTTGGTTCACCCTTAGTGAGCAGAAAGGTGTCTTCACCCTTAGTTTATGAAGGCTGACTTGTGAAACCAGAGCATCTGTCTTGGCACACACATATCACTTCTGTCCCTTCCCTTTCACTCCAGGAGATGAAAACAGCACACCACAAGATGCTGCTCTGTCCCCACAGCTTTTCAGTGCAACGGCTAAGGGTGGAAAAATCTAGTTCTGCTTATTTTGCAATAGGATCTGACGGAAGTGAGGGTCAGCTGCTTCGAGTGAGCTGTAGTGCAGTAGCTTGGGTGAACATAGGAGCAAAGATGCATCAGAAGAGACTTTAGTTCTCTGAAACCATCACCTCAGGTGTCTCCTAAGGTTATATGGCCTTCACTAAATACTGTGTCACTGTATCTTTCCCAGTGTGACTACCAAAGTAGGCCAGCTAGTGTGGATCAGGCTGCAGGCAAAATTCCTGCTATAACCAGGGCCAAGCTTTCAAAGTCTCCAGCAAATATTTCTGTTAGGACAAAAACATTGACCCTCATTGTATCCACACCCATCTTGCTGGTGGTGATTAAGCGAGTTTTCAGCGTGGACACGACTACATCTGTTGTTTAAAAAAAAAAAAAAAAGATAAGGAAAATCCTGAACAACTTGTCCTGAATGTGGTGACACTAAGGAAAAACAAAACTATCCGCTACCAGTCATTCATCAAATGTCATCTGCATGGGGCCTGGCACGGGCCCAGCAGTTTCTGTGGACGTCACTGCATGCTTCTGCTCCGCCATGAGGCTTCAGCTGCTGCTACTCAATTGATAATGTGTTATCTCAGTGTGAATCAGACAAAAATATATAAAACATGCTGCATAGAGGCACTAGTTTATGCTCTGTGTAAGGAATTTATGAGCAATACAGTACACATAGGCACATGACACGTACTATTTCCATTTTATATACAGAAATGGAAATCACATACATTTAACATTAGCCTAACACTATGATGAATATTAAATGACTGGACAACTACTTCAAATCATATCCAAAAGCAAAATAACATTTCTACCAATATAACATAGCCATATCCATAGGTATTCACCTTTGGGCATCTTCTGTTTATCCTATCACTCTCATATTTATGTCATGGTTTTTATCCAAATTTCTTCCTGTTCTGGTAGCTATACTTATCTAGCATCTGATAGTTTGACTACAATAAACTATTTCCAGCTTATTGCCATCTCTGCAACACCACAAAGCCAACCTCTTGCTCAATAATACTCTTTCATAACCATGGGTCATCTCCCCCACTGCTAGATCTGCAAGGGTTTCCAAGGGCACTGGTACGGAGCTGTAGCCTCTCTCAGCTGCACCTGGACTAGGTGCTAGTGGCATTAACAAGCCCCATGATTCACATAGGTACCCTATAACAGGTGAGTTTCTCTCTTTGCAGTTTCTTTGCCTGATGAAAACGCTTGGTTGTTTTGTTCATAGCTTTCCAATTCCTTTGCCGTAGTAACTAGCAATCTCTGTAAACTGTACACAATGTGAGGGTTTACGGGAGGTTTTTGTTCCCAAATTTCCATCACATTCACTTACCTGTGTTTCTGCAGTCTTTCAGCCATTAGGTTTTCACAGAGATGCTATCATGAAAATTGCTAGTGAGGACCTTATATGAGGTTTAGCTCAACACGCAGCGGAAATTTGTCTCTCATTGCCCAATCAAATTTGTGTCAGAACCAAACGACATTTTAGACACAGCTTTCTTTCCTTCCGTAGAGTGAAGATGAGAGAAACAGAGGCACAGAGAGAAAACATGTGTTTGGATTTCCCAAAAAAGGGGAAATAACCGCTAAATGAGTACATGACTAATTTTCCTTCTTTCTGACGAGTAGTAGCTTGCATACGCTCATGTCTTCACATGACTATTTCACGCTCTACCTCAAATAAAAAATTCTCATGAGTAACAAAAGGTGTTCTGCAGCATAGTCAGCTAAAAAATTGCACATTGGTTAAATAATTGTAGTCTTCACATTATGTGGTTTAACAAGCTCTTCATGGACAATATCAGTCTTCTGTGATTTCTCAGATGGCTTGTGAATCACAAATGTGTTGATTGCCCTTTCCATTCATAACATCCATTTTAGTGTGACAGCCTACATTTAGGCTCTCTTGCAATAGGGTATAAAGAATTATCAGATATAAGCAGATCATGAGCAGAAGGAGTAGGAAATGGATTAAAATTTGTGGCAATGATGGCCTTCACATAGCTAGAAGAGGACAGTCTAATGAGGAACTTCAGTCTGGAACTGAACTAAAAGACAGTTTTTCCTGTGCCTTGTCCTGATTTGTGATGTCCCATCCAGGCAACCCTGAATCTCTTACAGCCTCTTGATGCTTCATGGAGCAGCTGTCATGCATTACTTCACTGCAAGCCCAGGAAGCCACACACAAGCTGACTGATTTTCCATAGCAGTCCTGTTATCCATAAATCTAAAAGGCTGATAATGCAACTGAAGTTACTGCCCTGTAGCACTCCGTCTTTTTGTAGAAAAGAAAGAACTCAATCCCCTCAGTGCTAAACTCCCACCCTTGAACTATGAAACTCCTGGTTTTGTCTTCTGGAACCTCTGCTCTTCATTCTGAGAATCTGACCTCATGAATTATAAAACTATATCAGTCTTTCCTTTTCCAGTTCACTGTATGCAACCAGAAAGAAAGGCTGTCAGATTGGGTGGCCTGTGTTATATTAAATATCAGGCTATTGCTCTATGAGTGACTTGCACAACAGATGTGGGATCCTCTGATTGTAACTCTGGTCACCAGAACGAGGCAAATCCCCAGCGAATAACCCAGATGCTTACCAGACTCAAAAAGAGAAAAACTGCAGGAAATGAGGCTTGATATCTTTGGAAAGATTGTACCTACCCACTGCTGCAAACACATTTATTGCATGCACTGCGTAAAGACACATGCCAGCAAGCTGTTTGATGAGCAGCAGAACTAGCATCACTTCTTTTCCACAGATTTGTGCCCCATGCCCTCATAGACACCCCTCAGCTGCAGCCACCTCATGGCTTTTCCCCACCATGCTCCAGTGCTTTCCTTCCCCTCATGTCATGTCCTCTTTTCCCACCTTACCCATGACCAGTTTGTCTAGGCCAGGTGCAGTAGCACATCCTTGGGCTCACTCACAGCTACACTGATGCAACTGGTCAACTTCTCATTGCCCATCACCATATGTATGGACTGGTTTCTGCCTGACTTTCCCTCTGTGGGGCAACGCTTTGGTTCTCCTATGGTACACATGAGCAGTCACCAACTTTCCTCATGCTGCAACAACTCTAGGCATTTTGAAAACACAGCCCCTTGGAGGATGCAGCTGAAATGTTCAAAGTGAGTTTATAATGCAGTAACATATGCTGACCTGCCTTAGAAAACTAAACTAAATACAAATAGCAGTGCAGTTCTCAGACAGCATCATGTCCTTGGATACATCTAACAAGGATCAACACAGTTAAACAGCTTTCTTTGGAAGAGATCTGTCCTGGCTGTCTTCTTATCCATAAAAATGTCCTGATCACATGAACCACTACAAGAACTTCACATTAAAATAGTTTATCTGTGCAAAAGGTGCAAAAGTCTGGTCTAGAATAACTCAGGTAGAAATGAAAGATAGAACAAGTAATTTTTTTTTTTTTTTAGGAGCTGTCTGCTGAGAAGGCCATGTTATTTTTGTGGTCAGTTATCACTGAGTATTTATAAACAGAAATGTGCAAGTCTAGCAGCTATACATATAGACAGAGACTCTTTTAGGGAAGCTGGTGTCATTCTGTGGTTTCATTGTGCTGATGATTCATTTATACAGCTCAAAATGCTGGAACATAGCTGTGAAATTCCTAACTTGAAGATCAGACTATTCCCCATATGCCTCAGTTGTTGCTCATCTCACCAGATAGCTATTTCCCATACCAGGGATACATGCAGCTGCCTTGCCACATTTGGGTGGATTTCGCTGTCCTCAGACATCCTAATAAAATAAACAAAATCTCAAGAAATATTTACTGTTCTGGAAGTTCCTTGCAACAGAGACTTTCAAAAGGCCTCCACAAGCACAGTGTGTCTGTTCAGTATCCCTAGCCCATGGAAGGGGAAATGGAAATTCAGGCATCATGTAATGGAGATAAGGCCATTTCTATAAAGGACAGTTAACATGTCAGCTTCTTCTGACAGCTCTCAGGTTCGGCTGTCTGCCTTGGAGGAACTCACCCAAGTGGCTCTGTGGCTCATGATGTTTGGCATCCAAGAACTGCACTCCCATAGACTTTGCTATTTATTCTGTTATCTGGTTTGGCTAAGTGAATTTCATGCAATTAAAAACTGAAGAAAATTTCTCTGGTTCAGATAAAAATAAGGTGATGAGGGATTAAAAAATATTGAATGTTGAAAGCTGACTGGCAAGCAGATGCAAAGTAAACCACAATTATTGCACCAACATATGTTCTTGGGCTTACTGATATGACCAAACCTGGTTTTAATTATTTACAATATTCTTGTGCACCATTCCCAGATGGGGTCCTGAGGAGAACAGAAATGGAGAGGGAAGAAAAAAAGCTATCTAACTCTGAGAATCACCGAATAAATGAAAAAGAAAGAGAAAGACTAAACAGAGGAATTAGCACACTGTACAACAGATTCCAGGAATATAGGAATTTGAATGCTTAGCCAGAGGAATACATGCTGTCATACACAAGTTGTATATGACTAAGTGGAAGAAACAGGAGGAGATGCTCCAAGAGATACACTTTGTCATGAGGGAGTGCATGTTTGGCCCGGGCAGCAATGGCTTGGTTACAGATTGCCTCACTGCTGCTTGTTCCCGGGATTTCAAGACACTCTTTCATAGCAATAGGAGCCACGTAGACTTTGAAAAATAATTACACTCTCAAGAGTTGGAAGGGGCATGGAGGAGGAGACCCTCAGTGCTGATATCAACAGGCTGAAAGGGACAAAGTAATAGCTAGAGAGGCTCAGAGCTGCTGTGCACAGACATGCAGCCATTGACTGGTGAAATAAATGATTTCTGAAAAAGTAGGATTTGCTGGATTTTATTTAAGGGAGAAAACTATCCTAGGGTACAGTCTACGTGATATTTGGTGCTATGTGGAAAAGCAGTGACAAAGGACTGTTGCAAAGCTCAGTTTGTTAAAAGTAGTAGAAGAAAACTATATCTCTGTCTCTATAAACTGAACTGGAGATGGTAATTTAAATTGCTAAATAGTGACAATCTAAACATCTACACATCCTAATGCCTCTCTGAAATTACAATAAAAGTGAAAAAATACCTCGTACTGCCCTTCTTTCTGTCACAGATAAAATGGTGCATAGATATTCTGAATTTTTTTCAGGGATATGGTTCAGATTAGTGTTGGGGTCAGAGATTAAAAGAGCCTAGAACTCCAAGGACACTGGGGATGAAAAAGGCAAGCCAAGGGGATCATGACAGGGCCCCAACATCAGTGCTGTCCCTACATCTTTTTAATCTGGCCCACCCAGGGTGATGGAGACCTCAGCCATAGTGACTAGAAGTCATTAGGGTTAGTGGCAGGGTTCAGAGACTAAAAGATCCCACATCTCCAGGAACCCTGGGGCTGGAAAAAGCATGCCGAGGGGATCACAGCAGAGCCCCTACATTGCAGCTTCCACACTTTTCAAATGGAGGTCACCCGTGGTGATGGGGACCTCAGCTTCAGCAAGGGAATCAATGCAGGGCCCCAACATTGCTGCCCCTATATCTTTCTAATCTCGGCCACCCATAGAATCATTCAGGCTGGAAAGAAACTCTAAGGTCATCGAGTCCAACCATTAACCCAGCATCGCCATATTCATCACTAAACCACATCCCCAAGTTCCATATCCACACACCTTTTGGATAGTTCCAGGGATGGCGATTTCACCACTTCCCTATGCAGAACATTGCAAAGTCTGTCCATCTTTTCAGTGAAGAAATTTTTCCTAATATCTAATCTCAACCTCTCCTGACGCAACTTGAGGCCATTTCCTCTTGTCGTGTGACTTGTTACCTGGGAGAAGAGGCCAACCCCTAGCTTGCTACAACCTCACTGAGGTTTCTTCTGCTTCCCCAAGCTAGCAGCCATCCCCACTGCTTGGATGGAGTAAGCCTACAGCATAATACATCACCTATCATGCATTAGTGCAAAGCTTCAGGCAAAGCTGCAGCACCAACATGGTCACTCACTGTGTCAGGGCTGAGAGGTGGGGCTGACTGGGAGGACACAGTGCCAAGGAGAACAGCAGACATTTCCCACAGCTTTGACATCTTCTCAGACTGCAGGCAGTGAGTCAGCAGGGGCACTAGGGGCATGCTAGAAAAAGAGCAAACCTGAGATTGCTGATTAGCTTTTTCTTTCCCTCTAGTTCTGAAATCACAGTGTTTGCTTGCAATCTTTATTGGTCTTTTTACATATGAAGCTCTGTGGTCTTGCATATGAGAACTGTTGAGGGATTTAAAAACACAGCAGTGATTACAAAAAGCTCATAGTAACAGCAGACAGGGGAGGAACTATGTCAAGTTGAAGAGCATGAAGTCATATAGAGTTACAAGAGCCAAAACAACAGGGACAATAGATTTCTAAACCAGTTATGGTGCTTGGTTTAAGCAGCCAACCCAGCAAACAGGAATTCCAAAGGCAAATGGAAAAACAGATGACAAAGATTTTTGTTCATAAT